ATGTGATGCGCTGTCTGATGGGGAAGGAGTGGGGGGCTGGGCGTTCCTCGTTGAAGACCATGTATGTTGCATTGATCCGATCTGTAATAGACTATGGAAGTATAGCATATCGTTCAGCAGCCCGGACCTCACTGGAAAGGCTAGATGTCATACAGGGGCAAGGACTCAGAATATGTAGTGGGGCGTTTCGGACGTCCCCAGTGGCTGCATTACAGGTGGAGTTGGGGGATATGCCGTTGCAGATTAGGAGACAGCAGCTGGCAATGATTTACTGGGTCAACCTACAAGGACATGGGGTGTCTCATCCTGCGAAAGGGATTTTAAAGGCATGCTGGGAACATGAGCGAAGACCGAACACGAGCTTTGGGTGGGTGGGTAATACCCAGGCGAAGGAGATGGGACTGTATGGAAGGGAGTTTAGTCCAACGGTAGTTATTCCTGTAAATCCACCATGGCTACTCCCGTCTCCAGTAGTTGATCTAGAAGTGTTGGAGAGTCTACAAAAAGATAGGGAGGGTGTTGATCCAGCTGATTTCTTTAAGAGACGTCTGGAAACTGTGTATCAGGATTTTGTGGCCATTTACACAGATGGTTCAAAAGATCCAAGGACAGGACGTACTAGGTCAGCATTTATAGTGCAGGAATGTGGGGTGGAAGTCAGGAAACGTATTACAGATCATCTGGCTGTATATACGGCGGAGCTGATGGCCATACTGTTGGCCTTGCAGTGGGTGGAGGAAGTTAAGCCAGACAGAGTAGTTATTTGCTCTGATTCATGTGCAGTGTTAATGAGTCTCCAGTCCTTTAGCTCACGTAGCAGACAACACCTGCTTTATGAGGTGCTACAAACCCATGGCAGGATTAAACAGATGGGTATTCAGATAAGATTTACTTGGGTTCCAGTCCATGTGGGGGTGGAGGGGAACAAGGTGGTAGATGAACAGGCTAAACAAGCACTTAGTAGTGGGGATGTTGATGTTAAAGTGTCAATGAGCGGGACTCGGAAAAGGAGGCGCAAGCGTCACCGCAAAGTTCTCCGTGGAGGCAGAGGCAAAAAGACTGATATATACAGTGATGGTGAAGAGATGCAGGAGCAGTGGGATATAAATAATAAGGGAAGGCATTTATTTCAAGTACAGAGGAAAGGACGGCAGGAAGGGACAGAAGAGAGGAGGCTATTTTTACAAGATTAAGGGTGGGACACAGCCAGTTGAATAAGACATTAAACATGATAGGACAGCATCCATCAGGAAAGTGTGATTATTGTCAGGAAATAGAGACTGTGGAGCATGTACAGTCGTGGTCAAAAGTTTTGAGAATGATACAAGTATTGGTCTTCACAAAGTTTGCTGCTTCAGTGTTATGAGATATTTTTGTCAGATGTGACTATGGTATACTGAAGTATAATTACAAGCATTCCATAAGTGTCAAAGGCTTTTATTGACAATTACATTAAGTTTATGCAAAGAGTCAATATTTGCAGTGTTGACCCTTCTTTTTCAAGACCTCTGCAATCCGCCCTGGCATGCTGTCAATTAACTTCTGGGCCACATCCTGACTGATGGCAGCCCATTCTTGCACAATCAATACTTGGAGTTTGTCAGAATTTGTGGGTTTTTGTTTGTCCACCCGCCTCTTGAGGATTGACCACAAGTTCTCAATGGGATTAAGGTCTGGGGAGTTTCCTAGCCATGGACCCAAAATGTCAATGTTTTGTTCCCCAAGCCACTTAGTTATCACTTTGTCTTATGGCAAGGTGCTCCATCATGCTGGAAAAGTCATTGTTCGTCACCAAACTGTTCTTGGATGGTTGGGAGAAGTTGCTCTCGGAGGATGTGTTGGTACCATTCTTTATTCATGGCTGTGTTCTTAGGCAACATTGTGAGTGAGCCCACTCCCTTGGCTGAGAAGCAACCCCACACATGAATGGTCTCAGGATGCTTTACTGTTGGCATGACACAGGACTGATGGTAGCGCTCACCTTGTCTTCTCTGGACAAGCTTTTTTCCGGATGTCCCAAACAATCGGAAAGGGGATTCATCAGAGAAAATGACTTTACCCCAGTCCTCAGCAGTCCAATCCCTGTACCTTTTGCAGAATATCAGTCTGTCCCTGATGTTTTTCCTGGAGAGAAGTGGCTTCCTCGCTGCCCTTCTTGACACCAGGCCATCCTGCAAAAGTATTCGCCTCACTGTGCGTGCAGATGCACTCACACCTGCCTGCTGCCATTCCTGAGTAAGCTCTGCACTGGTGGTGCCCCGATCCCGCAGCTGAATCAACTTTAGGAGACGGTCCTGGCGCTTGCTGGACTTTCTTGGGCGCCCTGAAGCCTTCTTCACAACAATTGAATCTCTCTCCTTGAAGTTCCTGATGATCCGATAAATGGTTGATTTAGGTGCAATCTTACTAGCAGCAATATCCTTGCCTGTGAAGCCCTTTTTGTGCAAAGCAATGACAACGGCACGTGTTTCCTTGCAGGAAGAACAATGATTTCAAGCACCACCCTCCTTTTAAAGCTTCCAGTCTTATTCTAACGCAATCAGCATGACAGAGTGATCTCTAGCCTTGTCCTCGTCAACACTCTCACCTGTGTTAACGAGAGAATCACTGACATGATGTCAGCTGGTCCTTTTGTGGCAGGGCTGTAATGCAGTGGAAATGTTTTTTGGGGATTAAGTTCATTTTCATGGCAAAGAGGGACTTTGCAATTAATTGCAATTAATCTGATCACACTTCATAACATTCTGGAGTATATGCAAATTGCCATCATAAAAACTGAGGCAGCAGGCTTTGTGAAAATTTATATTTGTGTAATTCTCAAAACTTTTGACCACGACTGTATTGCTACAGTGTGGGCAGTATCAGAGTGAAAGAGAGAGGATGAGATTTAGTATGAGGGAGAAGGGGATACAGGAAATTAGTTTAAAGAGTATATTGAGTAGAGCGTCATTAGATATAGTCTCAAATATTTTGTTATCTTTTTTAAGAGAAACAGGGTTGGCAGGTAGGATTTAGTTTATCCCTGTCTCTGGCCCACACTCCAGTACAGTAGGTCGCGGTAATGCACCACAACGTTGGATGCCAACCGCTGATAAACCCCACTGAAGAAGAAGTGCATGTCAGAGGCAAAACCAAGCCATGAGGTCAAAGGAATTGTCTGTAAAGCTCAGAGACAGGATTGTGTCGAGGCACAGATCTGGGGAAGGGTACCAAAAAATGTCTGCAGCATTGAGGGTCCCCAAGAACACAGTGGCCTCCATCATTGTTAAATGGAAGAAGTTTGGAACCTCCAAGACTCTTCCTAGAGCTGGCCGCCCGGCCAAACTGAGCAATCGGGAGAGAAGGGCCTTGGTCAGGGAGGTGACCAAGAACCCGATGGTCACTCTGACAGAGCTCCAGAGGTTCTCTGTGGAGATGGGAGAACCTTCCAGAAGGACAACCATCTCTGCAGCACTCCACCAATCAGGCCTTTATGGTAGATTGGCCAGACGGAAGCCACACCTAAGTAAAAGGGACATGACAGCCCGCTTGGAGTTTTAAAAAATAATGCTTTTTGCATAAGGTTAGCAGTGTGGTTAAGGTTAGGGTTAAGTTTAGGGTTAGGTTTAAAATCATATTTTAAGAAGAGAAATTGTAGAAATAGGCGGAGTTTATGACTTTGTGTGTGTGGTAACTAGTGATGACCACAAAAATTGGACCAGAGATATTAGAGAAAGGAGGAGATGGGAATCACTTTGGGCAATGAATGGAGGAATGTATAGACTCCTGTGTTTACAAACATTGCCACATGAGGGCGATGTGCACAAGTTGGTGGCAGAACAAGAGGGAGTTATAGAACGCCAGCAAAAAAAAAATCCTCTATTTACATGTTGTTTATGAGTTCTTTCACACTACTTTTGGATTATAATTGGATTTTAAGGCTCATATGAATGTCCTGCTTAATATAATGTTTGTGTCATCATCGCAAATCAACTGCATTACACTTCAACTTCAACCAATAAAATGGCTCTTTGGCTTGCTTTTGCTACAGCCTATATCAATTAGCGTTAGCATTCTTGCTAACAACTGCTGCATCCAAAATAGTTATTTTACACAGATCACAACCAAATATAATCTTAGCAGCTGTTCAAGCAAGAATCAAAACATTGTAAGCTTATGAGAACGCAAAAAAATGATTTTGTTTAGAAGTAATAAAAACGTAAATATAGGCTATGTTGAATGGGCAGAGATGCCTTTCTTACTGCCGCCAAGAGTCAGTGTGTCATGTACTGGAAAAGGGTCTATAACGCCCCACCCAGCAGACTGTTGACCAATTGCGTTCACGATGTCATGATGCGTCATGCAGTTGCTAAACTAAGCAATCCCTTCTCAATGTCAGGGTATTGCCTTGTTCATAACAACTGGGAACTCGGACAAATATGAGGTCAAATCATGATGTCAGTGATTTTCAGGTCGGAAAGTCGAAGCTCTAGAAAGAGTTGGAATTCCGAGTTGGGTGATCTTTTAAATGGATTTTTCCCAGTCGGAGCTCGTTTTTTCCGAGTTCCCAGTTGTTCTGAACGGTCGGAAGTCGGAGAATTCCGAGTTCCCAGTTGTTTTGAATGCGGCATATGAGTCTAGAAACGTGCCTATTTTCCTCGAAATTACGTAATATCACAATTCCAAGGTATACAATATTACAGAGAGCACGTTAATGATCTCACATCTTGGAAAATATTTGTAATTTTGTACTTCTTGTTGACGAAATTCATGCTAATGTTGGAGTTTTGAGCTAGCGCCCAATTGACTCCCATTCACTCCTTGAAGGAGAGCTCGCCTTGTCCCAGAATTGCCCAGAATGAACCGCGCGGCGCATTGACGTAGCATGGACAACGGGTGTTAATACGAGTTTCCCATCTCCTCAAAAGTATCTATGGTTGGACATTGGTTTGACGTTACTAGGCAACAGTCGACAGAGGAAGTGTTTTGCAGTATTATCCGGGTGAATTAGTGGTCTCAGATAATTCAATATGGCGACACACATGTCGAGGTGTAGAACTTGGGGCCGTGTTCAGAGGTAATTTTCACGTTAATCTTAAAACAGTTGCCTCTGTGATTGCACTGACTTTACTGAAATATGTATGTACTTATTCGTGATCAGCTAGCTGGCCAACCGTAGCCTAGCTAGCTAGCTAGCTGTCAAACTAGCATGCAAACAAGCTAGCGTAGCTCGTCTTGGAGCTAAGGACAGTCAAAGTCAAACAAAACAATGTTGTGGAAAGCTATATATATTTTTTATATATAGTCGGCTCAAACCGAATAGCATTATTGACAGTAACGTTATATGCATGCCAGCGCAGTTGTGATTTCCTCTAGCTAGCTAGCTAACGTTAGCACTAAGTAGGCAAGACAGATGTATTTTAACGATGTCAGTTAAATGTATATCAATTAATCAAAAAATCTAAGCACGTTTTTGGGCTCATTCAGTAGTTTTTACGTGATTAAGTAGAATCCTGTTGGAAAATAATGTTAATTATCATTTATATTCTTAAAACATAAATTGAAAATGACTTGGATTTTATTTTGTATTATTTGTGTATTTGTTGACATTTTACTGCATTGTTAGGCGCTAGCTAGTAACATAAACATTTCGTTGCCGCCGCTATAACATCTGCTAAACTGTGTACGCGACCAATAAACTTTGATTTGATAATGTTACTGCTTCCTGTTGTCATCTATTTTAGATTTATAGCCCAGTGTCAAAACACCGGTTTTAAATGTCAAAATTCATGTTCAACATGCTGAAATAGGTTGTGATATTTTGAAGACTAAACAAAAAAATACTCCCGACACACGTGTCACACTTGTTTTCAGATTACTTACATTTTGCTAAATTAGTACCATATAAACTACACACAACATTTACCAGGCGGGCACTCTAAACTGGAATTGATTAGCTTGTTGTACTGTAATCAATAGCTTGCGCAAATTAATCCCTCACATCGATATTCTAAAGAAATCAATGGAACTGGGACAATAACAGCGGCAACATGTACCATTTACGCTCTACTAAAAGACAAACCACAACAAAGTTGGGAATACTAACATACGTGTTGATCGTTGAGCCCATGTAGTAGGTAGCCTAGCGGTTAAGAGCCTTGGGCCAGTAACCAAAAGGTTGCTGGTTCAGATCCCCTTGACCAAGGCACTTAACCCTAATTGTTCCTGTGAGTCGCTCTGAATAACAGCGTATGCTAAATAAAAAAATAATGAAGTTTAGTAGACATTTATCAATTCATCCTTGTGCCACAATGTTTACAGTAGATGGCCAATACGAAAAAGTTAAAGCAACACTTTTTGGACAGGATAATTTAAACGAATCATCATCTTACTGGTAGTTCTACATAGTGACAGGTTGGCTTTCATTTGATCAAATGCTTAGTAAACAACAACTAACAGTGAAATGCCCTTCCCAACAATGCAGAGAAAGAAAATGGAGAAACAATAGAAAAGGAATAACACATGATATTAATTGCACAATGAGTAACTATATCCTGGCTATACGGGTACCAGTACCGAGTCGATGTGCAGGGGTACGAGGTATTTAAGGTAGATACAGTGCCTTCAGAAATTATTCACATTTTTTGTAATTTATTGTCAACACAAAATACTCTTAATGTCAAAGTGGAATAAAAATTCTAACATTTGCAAAGAATTTATGAAAAATGCAACACTATCTTTGATTTGATGAGTATTCAACCCCCTAAGTCAATACATGTTAGAATCACCTTTGTCAGTGATTACAGCTGTGAGTCTTTCTGGGTAAGTCTCTAAGAGCTTTCCACGTCTGGATTGTGCAACATTTATTCTTAAAACAATTCTTCAAGCTCTGTCAAATTGGTTGTTGATCATTGCTAGACAACCATTTTCAGGTCTTGCCATAGATTTTCAAGCAGATTTACAGTGCCTTGCAAAAGTATTCATCCCCCTTGGCATTTTTCCTATTTTGAATTGGACCATTTTCCTGTCCTGCTAAGCATTCAAAATCTATGGAGTAAAAAGTACATTATTTTCTTTAGGAATGTAGTGAAAGTGAAAGTTGTCAAAAATATAAATAGTAAAGTTAAGTACAGATACCCCAAAAAACTACTTAAGTAGAACTTAAGTACAGTGCCTTGCAAAAGTATTCATCCCCCTTGGCATTTTTCCTATTTTGTTGCATTACAACCTGCAATTTAAATTGATTTTTTAGAAGTCACATAAACAACACTTTTTTTATTCAGGACAAAAAGTTAATTGCTTTGCCACATTTTTTCCATTATTTTTGTATTTGTTTTATCTTTCAGTATTACTTTAGTGCCTTGTTGGAAAAAGGATTCACGTTTTGTAATATTTTTATTCCGTACAGGCTTCCTTCTTTTCACTCTGTCAATTAGGTTAGTATTGTTGAGTAACTACATGTTGATCCATCCTCAGCTTTCTCCTATCACAGCCATTAAACAAACTCTGTAACTGTTTTAGGTCAATGATGACTTTCATGGTGAAATCCCTGAGCGGTTTCCTTCCTCTCCGGCAACTGAGTTAGGAAGGACTCCTGCTGTATCTTTGTAGTGACTATTGATACACCATCCAAAGTGTAATTAATAACTTCACTATGCTCAAAGGGATATTCAATGTCTGCTTTTTTTTTTACCCATCTACCAGTAGGTGCCCTTTTTATCGAGGCATTGGAAAACCTCCCTGGTCTATGTGGTTGAATCTGTTTGAAATTCACTGCTTGACTGAGGGACCTTACAGATAATTGTATGTCTGAGGTACAGCGATGAGGTAGTCATTAAAAAATCATGTTAAACACTTTTGCACACAGTGAGTCCATGCAACTTATTATGTGAATACTTATTGACTGAAGACATTTCAGCTTTTTATTTTTAATCAATTTGGAAACATTTCCAAAAACACAATTCCACTTTGACATTATGGGGTATTGTGTTTAGGCTAGTGATGACAAATCTCAATGTAATTAATTTAAAATTCAGGCTGTAACACAACAATGTGGGTAAAGTCAAGGGGTGTGAATACTTTCTGAAGGCGCTGTATGTTAATATAACTAGGAATAGAGTGACTAGGCAACAGGAGAGAAAATAAATAGAATCACCAGCATATGAGATTAGTCAAAGTTAGTGCAAAAATGGTCAATGCAGATAGTCTGTGTAGCTATTTGGTTAACTATTTAACAAATTATTTAGCAGTCTTATGGCTTGGGGGTAGAAGCTGTTCAGGGTCCTGTTGGTTCCAGACTTGGTGCATTGGTACCGCTTGCTGTACGTTAGCAGAGAGAACAGTCTATGACTTGGGTGGCTGGAGTCTTTGACAATTCTTAGGGCCTTCATTTGACACTGCCTGATATAGGGGTCCTGGATGGCAGGGAGCTCGGCCCCAGTGATGTACTGGGCCGTACGCACTACCCTCTGTAGCGCCTTGCGGTCAGATGCCAAGCAGTTGCCATACCAAGCGGTGATGCAGCCAGTCAAGATGCTCTCAATGGTGCACCTGTATAACTTTTTGAGGATCTGAAGGCCCATCCCAAATATTTTCAGCTTCCGTTGGGGGAAGAGGCATTGTCGTGCCCTCTTCATGACTGTGTTGGTGTGTGTGGACCATGATCGATCCTTAGTGATGCGGACACAGAGAAACTTGAAGCTCTCAACCCGCTCCACTACAGCTCCGTTGATGTGAATGTGGAAGTGCTCGGCCCTCCGTTTCCTGTAGTCCATGATGAGCTCCTTTGTCTTGCTGACGTCGAGGTAGAGGTTGTTGACCTGGCACCACACTGCCAGGTCTCTGACCACCTCTCTATATGCTGTCTCATCGTCGTCGGTGATCAGGCCTACCACTGTTGTGTGGTCAGCAAACTTAATGATGGTGTTGGAGTCGTGCGTGGCCACGCAGTCGTGGGTGAACAGGGAGTACAGGAGGGGACTAAGCACGCACCCCTGAGTGGCCCCTGCGTTGAGGGTCAGCATGGTATCACCACCTGGGGGCGGCCCGTCAGGAAGTCCAGGATTCAGTTGCAGAGGGAGTGATACCATGACTGTCAAATCCGTGAATTTGTTTGTGGCCAGCGACTTTTATAAAGAGAGCCCCTCGATTTCTCAAAGTCCTGCGACGGAAAGGCGTGTATGATAAAATCAACGGTACCAAACCAAAGATATTACTCTGTTTAAAGCAATCGATTTAGTACTATCTTAATAACTATAAACTTCTATAACATCATCACTAATCTGAGGTAAAAGTATGTGTAATTCCACTCAATTTATGTGGTGAAAATGCAAGCTTGTGTAAGGTAACACGTACTGTCCACATAAGGGAAATTAGAGCAATATAAAAATGTAATATGACAAAATAATTCAACATGTCAATTTAGGATGATAGTATATGCTTCCCACTCACAAGCTATTGCAACAATTACACCTATTTCTCACCCATTTAACCATTTAGAGAGTTTAAAAATGCTCTCAAACACAATTTAACCGGGTACTCTAGACCAGGGTTTCCCAAACTCTGTCCTGGGCCCCTCCCCCCTGGGTGCACGTTTTGCCCTAGCGCTACACAGCTGATTAAAATAATCAACTCATCATCAAGCTTTGATTATTTGAATCAGCTGTGTAGTGCTAGGTCAAAAACCAACACATGCACCCGGGGGGATGGCCAGGACCGAGTTTGGGAAACCCTGGTCTAGACTAAAGCCTCCATAGTCTGTGCAGTAGCCTGAACGTTCAACGTCCCTAACGTTAGCGTACACTGGCAACTTGGATTTCTGGACAAGCACACTTTGGTATCATCAGTGGTTGGCATTTGGTGATAGCTATAACATGTTGGCAGGTGAATCTGGTACTCATTTATGAGAGTTAAGTTCACCTGTAAAGACATGCTGTTGTTGATTGCAGCAATCCATAAACTAACCTACATCTTTGCATTTACAGGTTTGGAATTGCAGCATATAGAAAGTACAGCAGTGGCAGTGGATATCCAAATATCTCACTCTCTGCACCGTTACCAGGGATCCCCAAACCAGTGTTTGCAGCAGTGGATGGGCATGAACAATGCGAGACTAAAATCACTACTTTGGAAAATGGCCTTAAAGTAGCATCTCAAAACAAGTTTGGTCAGTTCTGCACGGTTGGAAGTAAGTTGCTACAGAATTTGAATAGAGCTGATCTTTCTTTATCATTCTATTTCAGACCGTCTCTTGCTGCATAATCAAAGTATGACTGAATATTGATTTGATTTCTCTCTCCTTCCAGTTTTAGTAAATTCAGGCTCTAGGCATGAGACAAAATACCCCAGTGGAATTGCACACTTTTTTGAGAAACTTGCCTTTTCTGTAAGTGTCACCTGTTTTGAGACATCTTGCTAGTCAACAAACACCTTGTACAAGAGATGTTGCACCGTTTTTGCCTCTCACTATGTTGTCACTTTTGTAGCATAAGCAAATTGCTTGCTATATTTTTGTTTATGGAAAATTATGACAATACCCTCTGCATCTTCAGTCCACAGCTCAGTATGGCAGTAAAGATGAAATTCTTCTCACACTTGAAAAACATGGAGGGATCTGTGACTGCCAAACATCCAGGTATGAATAATTGATTTGGCTTTAATGTCCAGGCACAGTATGTTTTCTCTCTGACTGATGGAAAGGTCTAGTGTCGAGTCATGGTGCTCTTTATCCCTTTTACATTTACATTGTAGTCATTTAGCAGACGCTCTTATCCAGAGCGACTTACAGTTAGTGAGTGCATACATTTCCATACTGGCCCCCCGTGGGAAACGAACCCACAACCCTGGCGTTGCAAGCTACAGGGGACTTTTGATGTTGTAGATACAGTACGTAGTTGGCGTGTATAAATTATACAGTACTGCTTTGTGGAAGGGGATGAAGATATTCAGTCAGTTTGAATGATGTCTAAGGTTCTATTCACAGAGACACCACCATGTATGCAGTCTCTGCCGAGGTGAAGGGACTGGACACTGTAGTCAGCCTGCTCTCTGACGCTGTATTGCAGCCACGCCTACTAGGTGAGTCAATACTGAGTGACAGATCTTTCATCATGTTTAATGATGCTTCCCTTAATGACTAGGGAAAATGTTGACTTAATTTAATTGTCTACAAAGTAACAGACTGTTAAACGTTTTTGTGGGAGTATATTTTCATCAGGGATGGCTCTGCTTTGGGTTACTAGATGAGGAGATTGAGATGACTAGGATGGCCATGCGCTTTGAGCTGGAGGATCTGAACATGAGGCCTGACCCTGAACCTTTACTGACAGAGATGATCCATGCAGTGAGTCATGCTACTGGTTGATCCACTCTTTAAGTGACAGACAATTACAACACTCTTGAGCTGCATGAAATCTATTGTAGCACCATTTCTAATCGACTTTGGCCCACCTCTCTGCAGTGCGCATAGATAATCAATTGCACCATTTGTCGACACATATTTCTATGACAATACATAATGTTTCGCAACACTTACTCTGAACTAGGCAGCATATCGGGGGAACACCGTTGGGTTGCCTCGCTTCTGCCCAGTAGAGAGCGTGGAGAAGATCGACAAGAAGCTGCTACACACGTACCTGCGGAGCTACTACTGTCCAGAGCGTATGGTGCTAGCCGGAGTGGGCATCGAACATGAACAACTGGTGGCCTGTGCCAGGAAATATCTGCTGAATGTAAAGCCAGTATGGGGAGCCAGTACGCCTACCAACGTCGACCTGTCTGTGGCACAGTACACTGGTGGAATCGTAAGGGTAAGAGCAGTATTTTACCCTTTGCTTACTTTTTCCTTTATTTATATTTTCTTTACTAAATCAGAATGAAAATCTTTGTTTTGATCCTCAGATGGATAAGGACATGTCAGATGTGAGCCTTGGCCCCACCCCCATCCCTGAGCTCACACACATCATGATTGGCCTGGAGAGCTGCTCCTTCCTGGTGGGTGCCCACGTTGATTGGTTGGTGTAGAGGATCTCCCGCCCACTTGGTTGAACTGTCGCAGACTCTATGCTATCCTGTAGCTGGATATTCTATGTATAATATATGCATGTTTTGTGTTACAGGAGGACGACTTTATCCCTTTTGCTGTCCTCAACATGATGATGGGTGGAGGCGGGTCCTTCTCAGCGGGGGGTCCTGGGAAAGGCATGTTCACTAGACTTTACCTGAACGTTCTCAACAGGTAAGCATGATGCAACATTCACAATTCTAATTAAAGTACTTAAGATTGTATTATTTTGTGGATTCTGTTTGTTCATTTTTTTTTCTACAGGCATCATTGGATGTACAATGCCACCTCATACCATCACAGTTATGAGGACACTGGCCTGCTGTGTATCCATGCCAGCGCAGACCCTAGACAGGTAGAGCGAGGGGATTTGGGAGAGGCATGCAAAGGCAGGACTTTACGATGTAGATGAAGGGCTAATACAAAGCTGCCATATGCTTGGAGAATAACATCAGGAGAACTGTTCAAAAGAAAACTATTGTTTTACTTTGTATGTGTGTTCTCTGAAGTTGTGAAAGTGCTGCTGCCATTCCAAAGTTGTTGATTACAACATCTTGCTTTGTCAAGGTTCGGGAAATGGTGGAGATTATAACCAGAGAGTTTATTCAGATGGCTGAGACAGCAGGAGAGGTAAGGCTGGCCATTAGCCTGGGAGGGGAAAGGATGTCACAAAGCGACAATGACCTATTTTAAATGGACAAAACTTTCTGAACTTTAAACTCTTTCTTTGAACTTCAAAACTTTGCATCTCTCTTTCTGTGCTCAGATGGAGTTGGAGAGAGCGAAAACACAGCTCAAGTCCATGCTGATGATGAACCTGGAGTCACGGCCAGTTATCTTTGAGGATGTCGGCCGACAGGTTCTAGCCACAGGGAAGAGGAAGCTGCCACACGAGCTGTGTGACCTCATCAGTGAGTACTAGTGCCCTGGATCATAATAGTGGATATTGATATCAGCAAGCCCAGAATTAAACATTTGTCAAAACAATCTTCAGGGAGTAGACTAATCATAACTGTCATGGCAAATCAGTAGTTCTGTATGAGGACTTTTCACTCTTTCCAGGTAACGTTACAGTGAGTGACATCAAGAGGGTCACAACCAAGATGCTGTGCAGCAAGCCAGCAGTAGCAGCGCTAGGAGACCTGACAGAGGTGCCCTCCTATGAGCACATCCAAGCTGCCCTGTCCAGCAAGGATGGACGCCTGCCTCGCATGTACCGCCTCTTCCGATAGACCCCCCTGTGTTTGTTTACTCAGGCATCACTGTACATACTGGACACTGGTCTACACTAGTGTTCTCTCAATAGAGCTGTGCTAAGCTCTGGGAGAGGACTAATGTTTGGACCTCAACTGCAAAAGAAAGTTGAGAAAGTGGTGATTTTAACTACATTTACGTCATTTAGCAGACGCTCTTATCCAGTGCGACTTCCAAATTACATTTTATTCGGTTAGGAAATACCTCTCTGTGCATTTGGAGAGTCTACATTTTCTTGCCAGAGGGAAGTTTAATTTCCTGTTGTTCAGGATCCTACCTGACCCACGTTGGCTGGGACAGTTGGCATGCTTTTGGGTTTAATCCCAAGTATGTTTGAATGAATGTGGGTGAATATAGCTCGAGAGTTGCATTGCTTGATCTGCAGGGTGACCTACAAATGACCTTGATGTAATAAGGGGTCGTGATTCTGTTCTCTAGCCTTCTGTAGGAAAGCAAACAGGCCTGGCAATGTCCTACTACACTGTTTGTACAGTTGATACAGGTACTTCCTTCAATGTTACATACACTTTTATCAGATTTAACAGGCTGAAGTCTCACCCAAGGCCTTGTCATCTTCAGCAGAGGGTGACTGAAAACTGTAAGAGACTCTTCCGACTAACTGCTAGCACTTCTGTCAATGTCCCTTCTCACACACATAGCGGAGTTGGTCACCTCTACTGCACAGGAGATAGTAAAATAACATTGGGCAATGTTTGGATTGGTGTCACCAATCATGTGAGTGTTTCTTGTAGATAGATGCACATTGATCTCCACTTGACCAGACTGAAAAAGATAATACTGTACTATGCTGTGTAGTTAGTTTTAGTATTCTCAGTGTTCTGCCTGAGCTCCATTCTTTCATTCAACCCATTCCAACACTGTTTTGACCTCTGTATGTAAGTAGTACTGGATGTGTGTGCTGATATCCACTCAGGTGCCAGAGAAATCTGAACATTTGTTTCTCCGTTGCAAAACTAAATTGCTAAATAGAGGAATGGTATGTCTAAATTTTCACTTTCTGTGTGTTCAATCAAGACACTTCATATCAGAATACTGCCACCATTTTATTTCAAACCAAGATTTATCTGTGTCCTAGAGAGAAAGTGAGCCTATTGAATGTGAAGACCAATATGTGTATCTGTATTCAGCCCAATTGGAGGTTTGTTTCTGGTAAATAAATGTAATTATTGCCATAAAATAACTCTTATGTTTGGACTGCCAATGAGTGTGTATAAACGGATTTAAGTTCTGCAGTTGATACTGTCTTTGAGGGATATTCAATGTCCACTTCAGATGACAAAAGCAAACATTTTGAAATAAAACAAACCAATAAGAAATATTCCAAACATCTTTTTATGTGATGTTACATCACAAAGCATGTTAAAAAAGATGCACAGATATAGAGTCCTGAGGAAATCACAGGCACTTGCCATGAGTGTGTAATGACAACTCATGATTCACCATTACACCAGAACAATTGATCTTCATGCAAGAACAAAATGAATTATCTTCCCCTCGTTAGCACAATACAGTACGGAAAGTAATTTTTGAATAAGTTACATGAGTGTATTTCATTTAGTCAAGACATGACATTAAGGCAATGAACCAGAGTATGGTCTAACAAACCCCTCCAACATGATCAACATCACCATTGCAAAAGATGATTCTGTATCCATTATGTAAGATATACAATATGTAAATAAGTTAAATATTTGAAAGGTATTATTCATACATCTGGTATTCTACAATGCCAGAAAAGAGACCATGTATTACGTTATTTCAATAAGTACCGTACTTGCAGGGAATGCATTTGCATCAAGCAACACCACAATAACTGGCATTTCCTTTAAAGTTGATACGAATAACAAGTCAATTTCTGTGAAATCACATGGGTTAGTTTTTTTTGGAGTAAATCCACGAAAAACCCAAACGTTTTTGAGTGAATTGAGCTTTGGTATATCAACCGAAAGTAAGAGCTGTTTGATGGAAATGCATTTACAAGGCCTTTGAATACTGTTACACCAAGTAAAAAAAGGTGACATTACATATAGTCCATATCAACCTGGCTTGTTAAATAAATGTACAAAATAAAACAATTAGAAAATAATGATTAGGTACAGTATACACAAAGCATTAGCTTCAGCCAGCCAGTGCACAAGGATGGAGATGTGACTGACTGACTAAAAGGTCATCTTCAATGGCACGTTCCCCAGCTCAGTCTTGTTTGTGGAAGGGCTGTATAAATACACCAGTTAACTGCTGAGTCTGCAGGCTGGCAACCGTCTGTCTGTAACTCAAGGTCCCTGCCCTCGAGAACAGCCCCACAGCTACCACCTCAGCCCCCCATAAACCACGAGTGACAGTTCCAACAGCTCTCAGTAGGGGGCGCTCACAGATCAGTTTACGTGACTTCCATGACCCTCACACAGACTGGGCTGGAAGTGGCAACAAAAGACTGGTTCCCTTTGGTCCCTCATGGCTGGGTCAGAGTGATTCTGGAGGGAGGTCAAGTCCGGTCCAGGTTCAGGAGATGGAGCAGATGGTGCTGCTGCCCTGGTTCTTCATGGCTTCTCTCTTCTTCAGCTCTCTGGTGATCCTCCTCCTGATGCCCTCCAGGTACAGACTCCTATCAAAATGGCCGGCACCCAGAGGAATACTGGGAAACACAACAGACAGAGAACAACAAATAAAAGTCAGGGTTAACAAACTGTTCTAGATTAACTCAGATTTTAGTTGACTGCACTTTTGGACACCTATTACTACTAATAATTTTACTACAGTGTACATGAGAGCTACAAAAGGCTTGCTGCTGCAACAGCTAAAAGAGGAAGGGGTGGGACTTACTTGTCTCTCCCGGGACGCAGTTTGACCTGGAACATGCCGATGACAGGCCGGTGGTCTGACGTCTTTATCGTTGAACAGCTGGTGTACTTTATCACTTTGATGTCATCTACCTGCCTGTTCCTGAACAGTATTCTGTCCTATAGCACACAGAGGAACAGTAAAACATACATTTTATTTTGTGTGTTTAAAACAAACCATCATTTAAAAAAAGAGGCTTGCTTGTATGAATGGCACAGGGTGTGACTTGATGCTGACACGTACTGTGTATGACGGAGTTCTCTGCTTGGAGGTGGTGTCGTACATGTCACAGCCGACATCATATTTGTAGGTGGGGAGGAACTGAATTGGTGCTTCCTGAAAGCCTTTAAAGATGGAACCTAGAACAGAGCATAATACATTTGTATTATATATTTTGAAATATCTGTCACAGTGAGTATGTGAATGATATCTCAAAATGTATTGTTACCAATCTAATACATGTAATATTCGCCTAAACTTGTCTGGTTCTTAGAGTTAATATTGTGTTCTTCCATGTAGACGTACCATCCTTCATTTCCTTGGAGAGTTGGTCATGGTGGAGCAGAGGGCCCATGTCCACACCCTGGTTCTGGTTTAGAATGGCCTCTACCCCCACACGATCTTTACTCAGACGGAAGTTAAAGTCCCCAAACCAGAAAACCTCATCAAACCGTGTTGTCACATCCGCTGAAAGACATGAAACAGAAATGATCAGTACATTTACACTGGTGTTTTAATTCAGTACTTGTTGCATGAAGGAAATACCAGCATTTCTCTTTACACAATAAGCATGCTCTTCTAGATGTAACAGCAGTACTGCAATATAAAAGTAATACTGCAATGAACAACTCTTGTCTTTAGGAGAACTTACAGGATGTGGAGCGGTAAGGGTTGGTGTCTGGAAGACCATTAGGAAGAGCAAGTGCTTCAATGATTTTGTTGTAGTCCAGAATCCTCTCGTACACTTTGGAATCTCCAGCTGGAACATAAGGACATGTATTAAATGACCAAGGGTGTACTCATTACGTCTTACAACGGAAACCGTTTATATTTTAAAAACCAAACGGAAGTAAACAGAGCAAACAGAATGAAACTGGGAGGGACCTACCTGAATTTGTCCAACAAAAACTTGTTTTAGTTGCAAAACGTTTTCCATTTGGAGTAAACGGGTTCTGTTGTAAAATATTTTGCAACAGACAAAACATTTTGGAACAGAATCGGTATAATGAATACACCCCTAGTTAGTAGTGAGACTGTATCCAAAGGCTTTCCACTTCCTGTTTACATTAATGTAATGTATTGACATCACTTCCTGAACAACAGAGGTGTCACTCACAGGTAAAATGGGAGGTGATGAAGAGGAAGGAAGTGCCAAAGAAGGTGAAGCCGATCCCCAAGGCTCCTTTGGTTTTGATCTGAGACATGATGCGTGTTGTGACCGTGGCGTGCTCCACTTCTGTTAGGAGGAGATCCGATAATTACAGGGTACAGAGAGGGACCAAATCACATAATGTACTATACACATAAAATATGCAGTAGGTAGCCAGAGATCACCTTATAACATTGCCTCTCTTACAACATTTCAATAAGAGACAACATTCAGAGATTTGTTGATGGTAAAGGACTGATTAATCTTGTGACAGACCTGAGCAGAACCAAATGAGGTCCCTCCTGACAAACACAGTGAGGTAGAGAACCCCGTGGGAGGCTGCATAGAGCATGACGTAGTACGGCCCCAGAGTCTCCTGAAGACGGATCTCCCATTCCCTCCTGTGACACAGACACACATCAGCATAGAGTAATAATAATAATATGCCATTTAGCAGACGCTTTTATCCAAAGCGACTTACAGTCATGCGTGCATACATTTTTTGTGTATGGGTGGTCCCGGGGATCGAACCCACTACCTTGGCGTTACAGGCGCCGTGCTCTACCAGCTGAGCTACAGAGGACCACGGAAGTACGGAAGACTTCATTGATATAATTTTTTTATGCACTCATACACAGTCATCTCATACCGGTCTGGACATCCCTCCTGGACTCCGATGATGTAAAAGTCTTGTGCAAATTCAGAGTCCGTCGGGAGCAACAGATCGTCTAGGTTGTTTGGAAGTCCCTGAAAAGGATACGGAAGCGGTAATTTTCCTACAGAATACCAGGACACACGTTATCAAAGAGTGAGTGTAGAATATGTGTAGAAACAGACATTCAAGCTCTAGGCCTAATGTTAAACAGTAAGAGCAGCCCCACCTTTTCTCCCTGCATGTTCCATGTGGCTATGTAGATGCCAACTCTTCTCTCTGGGAAGTAGCGGTCCAGCTCCTCAGCTCCCAGCAGGGCACCACTGCCCAGCACACTGCCCTCCAGAAAACTCCTGGAACACAATGAGGAAATGAACACTTAGGCTATTAACGGGAGGTATAGATAGCAGCACTAGGTTTTTTCCTGCTTGCTTGCTCCAACTAAAAATAGTATTGCCTACTTTGAACCAAACCCATTTAAAATGTCTGGTTGGCTACATTATAAAATGTCAGTACCATGCACACACACACACACAATTTAAACAAGGCTGCATATTATTGGTCGCTGAATCACATTTCGAAACATAGGCTAAGCTTCTTCCATAGCTGATAGCACACTGAAACATTTGAGATAAATCCCAATTCCTTTAACAGCTCCTTGTTGAGGCATGAGGCGTGTAGCGTACTGAGACCCATCTTTGCTCCCTGAATGGTGGCAAAAGCTATGCCGATTCACCTTACATACACATAGCATAAGCCTCTGAGGCCTTCATTAAAGCAGAGCTGCAGCCAGTGTTGCTAGAGCACACATCAATGCTAATGCTCTAACTGCAGATGTGCCATGGTAATAATTAGCCTTAGCCTACAGCATAGTCTTCTTGGTTACGATTCAAAGCTGATGGTGATTGTGAGACTGTTCACAATAGATTACAATAGCTCAAATGCCGGTCTGTATTTCATGCAGAATATAGGCCTATTTAACTCAAGGCCCACATCAATTCTTATCATGGGATGTCATGTGCCACATCACAGGAGGTGCATTACGTTATCAAGGCAATGGAATATTACCGAAGCCTGGCTATCTTCATTTTAGATATATATATACTATATACACTGTATTTACATCCAGAATGTGTTAATCTAATACAGTTTCAAAGCCATCAAGACTTCTAATAGCACTCTGATATCAGTATGAGTCAATTATCCAATACAGGTAGAGAAGGCTCCTGCAGTATGTATCTGGTTAGTAATCTGGAGAGGATATCCTGAATGAGAGTCTTGTGGCCCTACCTGTTCCTGACATCCCTGGGTCTGATGGGGTTCAACACGCTGAAGGTGGACTTCATGGAGTTGACAGAGGTATTGTCTGACACCATGTTATCTAGAAGCCGGCTGTCGCTCAGGTTCCTGTGCAGGTGCAGCCTCTCCGGCCCAGCTCTCCCCGGCACAATGCCATAATCCCTGTCAATCCGATTAGCCGTCCTTAAGGATGCGGAAGCCAAGCTCTGCTCCAGAGCAGGAAGTGGACCCGAGGGCTGTAAGGGAGAGAGGCGTACCTTGGAGGACCTCACCCGCTGCTCCGCAGGGTCACTGTGGTGGTCGCGGGGCCCCCTCTCGTACTCTGAGAGGCTCTGGCCCCTAGCTCTGAAGACGGGGGACCCTGATGGAGCCGATTGGGGTCCAACGACAGTGCCCTGTCCGTTCCTCAAGGTGGCAGCACCGCTCAAGGTGAACACACCTGTAACTGTCGAGTCCTCCTTAAGAGAGTCTGTGGAGGAACCGGTCTCAGCTGGGTTGGTCAGACTCTCCTGGCTGTTCTTCAGCCTCCTGCTTCTCACCTTCTCCTCCACCGAACCACTGTTCCCTCCCTTCAACAGTGCAGGGGGCTTTGGCAGCAGGGGTGGTCGGGGCTGGTAGGGACTAGTCTTGCTGCTTTGGTCTCGTACATCCTGAGGAAATTTCAGGGTGTCGTTGAGGAGCTTGGTGGTTTTGTTGTCCTCTGTAGTGGGGTTCACTGGCCTCTCGTCACCGCTTCCTCCTCCTGGATCCTTCCCACCAGGAGCTCCACCAGGTAACACTCCACCAAAGGGCTGAGAGGGGCTGCTGTCCTCCCCATTCTCAGTCATCCTCATACCAGGCTGCACCTTCTAGGTGCATGGGGACTCCATTTGCTTAGAAGGAGATAATCTAGAAAACAATTACTTCAGCTCCTATTATTGAGAATTGATTGATAATATTTCTAATTATGTTTGATTTCTCAATTACATTCCATAGCTCATACTTCACATTAGCTAGCTAGACTCCATATGTTGCCCTGTTACTTATCTCACACAAGGTATAAAGTTAAGATAGGTATTACATCATTAGGTACGATTTGATTAACTAACTAACGTTAGTTAGCTAGTAAACTGCACATATGGTTGGCTCATTATCGTTACTGCCTGGAAGTGACAGCTAGCTAACTGAGTGGGTGCTAAACTTACTAGCTAGCTAAGCTAACGTCAGCTGATCACTTTTATGGCTAACTAACTAGATATCTACATCATCGTTAACATGCTATGGGTTCTGCTAGCAAAGATAGCTAGCTAATACTTACTATGCGTCCAATCTAGCTTGAGAAACGTAACTAACGTTAGCTGTGTGCTAGCTAATATGCTAACCTATGACAGCAGAACGCTAGCTAGCTAGGAACGTGGCAGTCTGGGAAAGACAAATGTATTGGACATGACACTTCATTTAATCAAAGGATTATCGTTAGATACCTGAGGGAAAGCAAAATCAAGTTCCGTCCATTGCAGGGTTGTGATAATACATCGTTATTGAGGTAGCTAGCTAGCTATCTTTAGCTTAGCTGGTTAGCTCCGAACGCTAAGCAAACTTTCCACTTCCTTAGTAACGCTTGACAACAGTTTTTGTTACTGAGAAAACACATGCTGCTTGCATTATACTTGTAGCGCCCCCTACTGCAAATGCAGTAGTGGTAGTTATGGTAATAATAGGGCTATCATCATAGGCCTACCCGTTAGTTTAGTGAGCTATTTTGGGGTGGTTTGAAGGTGTAGGTTAGTGGGTTAGAGTGAGTATAAGCCTTGGATTTTGAGAGCTTGTGATAAGCTCTCAACATGTTTTAGTTTGAACATGCTGGATATAGCAGTGATTTTTGTTTCGAATCTTGAAGCCTGCATTCCGCCGTAAAAAAAAACATTGTACTTTTTTTTGTGTGTAATATACTGAAACTGTTCTGACTCACAGCCACACACAAAACAGTGTGTGTAATGCATCCTCTATGTACCTCCTTACATTATTAGTAAGTTAGGCATATAAACTGTGATGATTTACAATAAAGGAAAACAAAATATACTTGCCTGTCTGTTCGACCCACACACACACACACACACACACACACACACACACTTTTAACCAGAAGGTGTCCTTATAGGGCTATGTAAGTGCATCATGTGTGACTGCTTGATTCACGATAAAATATGAAATACATCTGATTTAACTCAATTATTGACTTTTACATCTATACACATTCACATATCTCATTACAATGAAATAGTGGGTAAAGTAAAGAGAGCAGGTTTGCAGACTGTTGAGGCCATGATTTCTCACCATATGGTCAACCAGACTGTTTACCCAGAGTAAATACACATACAATTATCTGAGGTGTTTGATAACTGTTATGTTCCTGTGTTCACTCATGTTTAAGATGTTTACTAGCTCTCATTCAATGATGCTGCTGCACAGAAGTGTTCTCCAGTGAATTACAGTGCTTTATCTGTGGGTGGGCAAGCTCTCTGACAGTGAGTCTCACCCTGGTAAAGAGCAGATGGATGGTGCAGCTGGTTTCATGCAACTCTACTCCTATTTGGTATCGTTGCATTTTATGGTTCCCTCTCACAGCTGAAAGAGAGATGGCTAAGGTAGAGGGGGTCTGAGAATCTTGACTATAGTGGGTTCCATAATCTAGGACATCTGTGCACTGTAAACACTTTTCTTTCCATACAGATCTTATTAAATTATTCTATGGTTCTTTCATCGCTGTAAGACTAAAAAGCCTCCCAATGATGTCACTTTATTATTATAAACTTCTGAAGCATCTATACCAGAGCTAATTATGTACATCAGTGGAGGCTGCTGAGGGGAGGACAGCTCATAATAATGGCTGGAGCAGAACGAATGGAATAGCATCATACAATGTGTTTGATGTATTTGATACCAATCCACTTATTCCGCTCTAGCCATTACCACAAGCCTGTCCTCCCCAATTAAGGTGCCACCAACCTCCTGTGATGTACAGTATACACTAATGTTCTGGGGACCAGGCTTCCTGCTATTGAGAATGATCCTTGGGTACATCCATTTGAATTCAATAACTTTTTGAAAACATCCCTTTTGTTTCAAACAAAACTTTCCATACATGTTTGCCCATGGAAGAAGTGGTCATAAAGTCACTTTTGGACCTGAATGGCAATACATTCAGGAGATAAAGGTGCACAAAGTTGATCAATTTTGTATACCCCACCATACCATGAGACATCCATGTCTTCATTACTGGGAAATATAAACAGTTGAGTTTGATATAATTTAAAAGCTTACAAACAGTGTTGTTAAAGATTTAAAGATTTATTTTGACGTCAATTATCTAAAAATGCGTATACTCCGATTTTTTCATATTCGCAAATGTTGTAGCTTACGCCCTATTTCATATCATCTGAGATTTTTGTGTTGTGCTGCCATCGTTTGAGAGACAACACGCTCTTGAATACAGGGTGGGTGTCATTTCAATTATAGAAATATAATTCATAGAATGGACCTATCCCTTCAGACCGCTGCAATTTAGCTGGTGCACCATTGAAATTGAAATGTAATTGAAATGTTTACTTCTAATTACTACCACAAAGTTGACCGCCATGTCCACCCACCGTCGAATTTCAACTTACATGGTCATGTCTATTATCTATATTTCAATAGGTTTCCTATGGAGGATTGACAGTATAACTTGCCAAGAGTGTGCAAAGCTGTCATCAAGGCAAAGGGTGGCTATTTGAAGAATCTCAAATATAAAATATATTTTGATTTGTTCAACACTTCTTTGGTTACTACATGATTCCATAAGTGTTATTTCGTAGTTTTGATATCTTCACTATTATTCTACAATGTAAAAATAAAGAAAAACCCTTGAATGAGTAGGTGTGTCCAAACGTTTGACTGGTACTGTATATCAATACTGAACAAAATATAAACTCAACATGCAAAGTGTTGGTCCCATGTTTCATGAGCTGAAACAAAATATCCCAGAAATATTCCATACCACAAAACACTTATTTCTCTCAAATTTTGTGCACATTTATTTACATCCCTGTTATGAGCATTTCTCCTTTGCCAAGATAATCCATCCACCTGACAGGTGTGGCATATCAAAAAGCTGATTAAACAGCATGATCATTATAGTGGTGAAACTTGTGCTGGGGACAATAAAAGGCCACTCTAAAATGTGCATTTTTGTCACACAACACAATGTCACAGATGTCTCAAGTTTTGAGGGAGCATGCAATTGGCATGTTCATTTCTCTACCATAAGCTGCCTCGTCGTTTTAGAGAATTTGGCAGTACATCCAACCGGCCTCACAACTGCAGACCACGTGTAGCCATGCCAGCCCAGGACCTCCACATCCGGCTTCTTCACCTGCGGGATTGTCTGAGACCAGTCACCCGGACAACTGATGAAACTGTGGGTTTGCACAACCAAATAATTTCTGCACAAACTATCAGAAACCGTCTCAGGGAAGCTCATCTGCGTGCTCGTCGTACTCCCAGGGTCTTGACCTGACCGCAGTTCGGCACTGTAACCTACTTCAGTGGGCAAATGCTCACCTTCGATGGCCACTGGCACGCTGGAGAAGTGTGCTCTTCACGGATGAATCCCGGTTTCAACTGTACCGGGCAGATGACAGACAGTGGGTATAGCGTTGTGTGGGCGAGCGGTTTGCTAATGTCAATGTTGTGAATAGAGTGCCCCATGGTGTCGGTGGGGTTATGGTATGGGCAGGCATAAGCTACAGACAACGAACACAATTGCATTTTATCAATGGCCATTTGAATGCACAGAGATACCGTGACGAGATCCTGAGGCCCATTGTCATGCCATTCATCCGCCTCCATCACCTCATGTTTCAGCATGATAATGTGCGGCCCCATGTCACAAGGATCTGTACACAATTCCTGGAAGCTGAAAATGTCCCAGTTCTTCCATGGCCTGCATACTCACCAGATGTCACCCATTGAGCTTGTTTAAAAAATAAAAAAAATATTTCACCTTTATTTAACCAGGTAAGCCAGTTGAGAACAAGTTCTCATTTACAACTGTGACCTGGCCAAGATAAAGCAAAGCACTGCGATAAAAACAACAACACAGAGTTACATATGGGGTAAAACAAAACATAAAGTCAAAAATACAACAGAAAATAAATATACAGTGTGTGCAAATGTAGCAAGTTATGGAGGTAAGGCAATAAATAGGCCATAGTGCAAAATAATTACAATTTCGTATTAAAATTGTTTGGGATGCTCTGGATTGACGTGTATGACAGTGTGCTCCAGTTCCCGCCAATATCCAGCAACTTCGCACAGCTATTGAAGAGGAGTGGGACAACATTCCACAGGCCACAATCAACAGCCTGATCAACTCTATGCGAAGGAGATGTGTCACGCTGCATGAGGCAAATTGTGGTCTCTATCTGTGATCAACAGATGCAAATCTAAAGGGAAATACCTAGTCTGTTGTATAACTGAATGCATTCAACTGAAATGTGTCTTCCGCATTTAACCCAACACTTCTGAATCAGAGAGGTGCGGAAGGCTGCCTTAATCGACGTACACATCTTCGGAGCCTTGGGAACAGTGGGTTAACAGCCTTGCTCGGAGCAGAACAACAGATTTTTACCTTGTCAGATCGGGGATTCAAACCAGCAACCTTTCGGTTACTGGTCCAACGCTCCTATCCGCCAGGCTACCTGCCCAGTCATGTGAAATCCATAGATTAGGGCCTAATAAATGTATTTCAATTGACTGATTTCCTTATGTGAACTGTAACTCAGTAAAATCTTTGAAATGGTTGCATGTTGCGTTAATATTTTTGTTCAGTGTATGTATGTTTTCTTCCAGAAATTATAGAATAGTTTGACAACCCTGTTTTGAAAGCTATTAAATTATATAAATCTCAACCGTTTATCTTTTCCAGTGATGAATACATGGATGTCTCATGGTATGGTGGGGTATGCAAAATGGGACAACTTTGAGCACGTTTTATCTCTTGAATGTTTTGGCATACAGGTCCAAAAAGTCACTTTTTGAACACTTCTACAATGGGCAAATATATATGGAAGGTTTTGTTCTAATCAAAAGAGGTGCTGTCAAAAAGTGATTGAATTAAAATGGATTTACCCCTTTGCAAAGTTCAGCCATATCTGAGAATACCACCTACACATAGCTTGTTGCTGTGGACCCAAAGGTCTCCACTCTGAATCCCAAACAGGACTGTGTTCAGACCTGCCTCTCTCTCCCATTGCTCCAGACACATTTTATAGAGCTGCCACATAGAGAGAAAGCCTTGGTAAAACTGGCAGCTGCATGTTGCAACAGGAGTCCAGGAGGGTCAGGTGTAGGAATGAAAAGGATCTGAAAGCTTAAGGGATACCTATCAAGTTTAACAATGAAAAAGTAATCAAGGCCTGCTCACGGAATGGGTTTTCCATTGTCTTAATCTTCTGTTCTAGTATACCTGCATATACAGTATCTCCTCTCACTAAGAGACAGCTGATCCACCGTCCGTGATATAACATTGGAACTATGGATCCATTCTTTGAATCATATTGTATATATTTCATAGATTTTG